CTTCAAGATGGTTTGAGAGATTGCAATGATGTCATACTTTATAACAGGAATTCAGTGTTTACCACTCTTATGGCATGCTGTCAGTCTAGGTTAGCCAGTAAGCAGTTCCAGGTATGTCATACATGCAGAAATGAAATATAAATACACTATGATCCAAACATGTCTGAGGGAGCGTGGTAGTGCATCAAGAGTTCGAATAAGTGGTTTATTTAAATTAGCTTTTTTGTTGAAAGAACAATTCCTTTTATATTGTAAAAAATAAATATATGTGTTAAATTGAAAGCTCACTTTTTCTGAACAGGCTCAGCAGAATTTACAATGACCATTGAAGTAAGAATTGTGACATAATACAAAGTGCAGTGACATTTGGACTAGTATACTGACTTCCATTATTTTCTACTCCAATCAGGAGGTAGTTGTGAATATCTTGGACAAAGCATTTGAAGTTCCAGAAAGTAGGAAGACTCTATGTCAGCAGTTGTTGCCATCTCTTCAAGCATTTGTGACATCACAAGACTCAAGGTAAAATGTCATGTGCAAGAGGTATCTATGGTTACAGTGTTGAATTATGGAATTTCTTGCATTACCCTGTTTCTTGTGATTTCATTATGTTTTGCAGGTTATTTTTGCTTAAGACCTGACACAAATTTGTAACCCTAACAGTCCTCAAATTTCAGTAACATTTTCCTTACACCATCAGGGGTTAGGATAAAAGATTTCAGCTGTGGATATAATAATATTATTTGACAATCATTTGCTTTTCTTTTCTGACTAGTTGTGAAGCAGGCCAATCAGAAAGGCATTCAACAGTTACAAGTCTAATCCACAAACTCCAGTTACATAACAGTGAGAACAGTCACATGTTGAGGTGGGTACTTGCTGCTATGGGCATTGTCTACAACAGATAAGTACTAATTGTCTCTCATTAGTATGAAGTTTGTGGGATGCTGTTTAAATATTTGTTGTTTCTGAATTTCTTAGTAAGCGCATTGGCTTTCCCATTCAGTGTGCATGCATTGCGCACATGGTTCATGTATGCATGCTTGTATATTGGTAAACTTCTCCAAATCAGCACCAGGTTGACACTTATTACACGTGGTAAAAATACAAGATAAAAATGCTTATTTTGTAGGAAATTAAACTTACTTGTACATGTATTTGTATGAAATTTAAAAGTTTAGAGTAAAAGAAGAAGAACTATGACTTTTGAAGTCATCAGAACTCAGCATTGAAATGCACTGAATCTGCCTGGAGAAATTGTAGAGACAACTTCATTGGCAGATGATAGAGGGCTTATTCAATTATTTAGTTTTAATCAAATTTTATTGGTTATTTTATTAGAATGGCAAAAGTAAGAAAAACCTTGTTTAATTTGAATTCTTTTACCGTGCTCCTACATTAACAAATTGGCCAAGTTAATGATGTTGTTTGTGGAAGTTTTAACCTAAATTACATATTGTCTGTGTTTGCCTTCAGAAAATCGTTTCCATGGAAATATGCACTGTTCAGTTGAGATTCATTGTAACTGGAATTTCATCCTTACCAAGTTCATAATAACGAAACTTTTCTGTATTCATAAAGGAAAATACATGTAGGCACAGTAAGACCACTGACCACAAACCCTAATAAAAACTCCAACCTGTGTGTACTCAGCTTTGTCTAGGAGCCCTAGACTTGAATCTAGTCAGCCCTACGTTGCACTTCCCCGGTCAGCCATCCTTCACAATACACAGTGCATCCGTATCCCGTATATGCACGAGGCTGAAGGCCAAGTAGCATAAGGGACACATATGCACTGCATTATTCTGTGATCCATGAGCGGAGGTGTAATAATGATTCTGTCTTCAAGCAAACTTTATGTGCAGTAAAGGTGTTATAAGGCCTACATGTATGTGCATTTGCTTTCAGTGCAAAACTAGTGCATCGTGTAGAGTTAGAACAGAGCATTATGCGGAGCTTGACATGGACTGTGCAATACGATTATATGTCACACTGTTTGTTGCCATGGACTGACCAATCAGCATTGAAAATTCAAGTTTGCCTGACGATAAATCTTCTTATAAGGCACCATCATTTGATAGCCTTTCCGTGATATTTGGCGTCAACGTCCGAGATTGTACATGTATCATTATAAAGGCTGTCACCATCTAAGTCCGACTTGACAGATAAGCCAGTCAGATCCCTCCGCCAGTGATATGTAGTTATTCATAATTGCATAGGAATGACATGTTCATGCATAATGTATATAGAATTTCCACCTATCATAATATTCAGACTTGTAGACTCGTTTATGATAACGGAGGTGTGAACAACATAAAGACAAGTCTGTCAGTGTGATTGGCTTATAGCCTTTTTTGGTAGATGAGCTGATACGCTGTGTGCAAATGGTTGGCAGATTTGGCAAGTTGGAATTTCTCAAAATAATTAGTAGTAAGTGGACAAAAGAGAGCACAAAGCAAGCTAGTGAGTGACCGATGTCACATGGCCTCCATATCCAAAGCATAAACATGGACATCATGGATGATCCCGAAGTGAGTCAAATCCACTGGGAGCCTTGAATTAATAAAACCCTAACGTGTGTTGTCAGTATTGACCACGAGCCTTAATTAAAAGCCCAAACCTGTTCTTTGCATTGACCATAGGCCTTAAGAATAAAAGACTGTTTGCTCAGCATTTTAAATTGACTTACAATTAAATAATTGGAACCTGTATGTTTCCAGTACTAATTTCCATTAATTATGGATTCAACTAAGTGAACCTGTCCGACGCATACACCTATTTGAATGGGTGGTATTTTTATTTATAAGTCGGTAAGCAATGATAATGGGAACCTACAGAATATGAAGAATCAGTAAAGAGCCACTAGGCGTCATTTAAGAAATCATTAAAAAATGAGTTATATTTTCAATGTTTATTTTTGTGTGTGCAGGTAAAAGGGACATCCCAAAGAAATGGTTTCTGCTTGAAAGAACAAATCATTGTGATTCCCATTGACATTTTAACAAGATTATAAGCATTAATTTCTTCAAATTAAATTCACTTAGTAAAAACATGTTTTTATTTCCGTCCCAGGGTCTGCAATTGCCTGTCTTACACATTTTTTAAGTTATGTAATCCAGTTCAGTGATTTATGTGCTGAACTTCACCTAAGCTAGGAATCTGTTGATGATGCAAGACCAGTCAAA